AGGGCGTATTGGTCCGAGATTGTGTGCTCATTGTGCTCAGGGGATCAAACTACATCTGTATACAAATTTTTACACCAATTTGAGGAGTCCGCCGAATATCGAAAATGAAACTGAGTCAAGCATGACAAAATGCAAGGCTGCACGCACACGCCCTCCAAAACGGAGGGCGGTTCCGCACCGGGCTTATACACCCTCCAAAATGGAGGGTGGCTACGCACCGGGCTTATAGTCCCTCCAAAAATGGAGGACGGCTACGCAACGGGCTTTGCACCCTCCAGAAGTTTTTCAGATAGTTGTGGGTGTGAAGCATAGGCGGATTGCCAGCCTTAGAGGGAAGCAAGTGCAAACAGGCAGATTCCCGCGCGAAAAGTCGGCTCTATGCGTGATAGGCATCAAACGGTCACAAAATCCATCAGCTCACTCTGGACCAGTCCTATTGTGAACACAAATTTTCGGCCGCTGGGCACACGTCTCCAGTGGGTGGATGGTTAGCATACTGGTCTCGCACGTGGTAAGCTCGGGTTCGAATCTTGACGACAGCAGCCGTTAAGTGGGTGGCTTCATGGTCTACAGGTGTGGTGTGGTGATGCCAACTCGCTTCAATTCTTAACGGAATGAATTCTACTTTGGGCTTTTCATGCCGGACAGCAGCGTAGTTTCTAATGCCAGAGGGAGGACTAAAGATGGAGGACTCCGTCCCTCCAGAGGGAGGGAGTCTACACCCTACAGAAATATTGAGGATCCCGTGAAGGTTGACCGTAAATGTAGATGAGGCCAGCAGCTTGTGTTAGCATTAATTGAAAATGTGTGAGGTGTATACATTATGTGCAATGTAATGTGTAAAGTGTGTAAACATTTTGTGTAATGTATGTGTAAATTGTATAAACACTATGTGTAATATAATCTGTAAAATGTGTAAACATGAGTGAAAAGTTAGGTGCACACGACCTTTCCGGGCAATCGCTTAAAGATCATTCCGTCCCAGCCGGGATGTCTACCAGCTGCCATTCTGGCTGCATGGAGGCGGGTTCGGCTGATGGGTTCGTCCGGAGGCCCTCACAGGTGTACGTCCTACATTGTTGCCCTCCCTGGGGTGGAAGGCGGGCTTTGGCGGCTTCTGGCTGGGGCATTTGACCCGGAAAAGGCGCAAGAGCCCTCATTGGGGCAACAAGATCTCTGAAAACCGCAGGTCATCCAATAACTAGCACAGAGACCCATGTTTGGCCAACGGACCCTAAAACGGGGTGAAGGGCCCCGCAAGGGCCCCGGGTCACCTCTGGCCGACTCGGGACTCTTTCCGTCACAGGACCCCCTGTTGGACACTCTGGGGCCTGACCGTCAAAAGACCACTCATTTTTGTAGGGACTCCGACCAATGCAAATCGCGGGCCTCGGTTTCGTTCCTGCTGGAGAAATAGGGCCTCAGGGATCAGAACAACATGGAGTCAACTATTCGGTGTGGTGGTCTCCGGCCGGAATAGGTGCCCGCACTGTCCCAGGGGTCCACAAGCGGCGAAAGAGGCATATTGGCTGCCATTTGGGATCACAACCACACGGGTCAGGATGACCTGTAGCCCTGTCGACCCTTACGGGCATTCAGTCTTCCCATCGGCCTGTTTATCGTCAGTCTTGAAGGACACAGCGGTCCCTCTTCACGCACCCTCGTACACTCTCTGACCAACTCGGGGGTCCTTGTCAATATCGGACCTCCGGTTAGGCGCTGTGTGTCCTTGGCCGACACAGGGGCCCCTTATTGGCTCGGGGTGCATCGACCAATGTAAAGCGTGGGTACTGACCTTGTCCCTGCCTGGGAAACGGGCTCCCAGACGCAGGCCGGGGTCCAATCGGTGTAACGGGCCCTCTGGCTGTAATCTGAGGGTCCGACCCGCGCTCCCCCAATGACATTTAGCCCGCCGTTCAGGTCCCATATCGGATTGACGGTGCTCCCATTTGAGATTTCGTCGTGGTCACCTAAATGTCACTTCAGGCTTGGGATCAATCACTTTCTCCCCACGACAGTCCGAGATCAGGGGCAAATTGAGTTCGGAGGAGGGGCAAAAAAGTGGAAAATAACAAAAGTATCCCCAAAACGTAAGGTCGGGGCGGCAAAGCAGGGGGGGTCCAGAGAGGGGGGCACGGGGCATGCCCCCCCCCCCGTTGGGCCCCTTCGGGGCCCATAGCCGGCCGAACAGGTGCAGTTTTTTTAACACAAAACACAACAAAACTGGGTTTCTCTGGACTTTCAGCCTACCAAGAACAGTTGTGAGCGAACGTGAAGGGCCTATGAGAAGTCCTAAAAATTAATCAATGATTGGAAAAGTTGTGAACTGGAAATTTTAAGCCCCATTACACCGCCTAGCCATGACGCACCGTCATCCGTCTTATTTACGCCGTCTACACCCCATACTGTTTCCGTTTCTAGGGCGTTTCTAAATCTCTGTCACTTGCTTAGGGCCCTACACTCCTGTCGCGAGCCCATCTGATGGGCTGTTTGGGCACACTCAGTCGTTCGGGGACCGCCTATACTGGGTTTTTGGTACTTCTTTTCTGGATGGGGAGCCTACACTTCTGTAGGGGGGGGGGGGGAGCTATCTGATAACCTGCTCGGGCACGTTTGATCGTTCGGGGCCCTCTTTATTGGGTCTTAGGCACGTGCTATTTGAATGGGCCCTACGCACTTGTCGGAGGGCCCCTCTGTTCTTTAGGGCCCTCTGCTCGTATAGGGGTCATCTGATAACCTGTTCGGGTATAATCCATCTTTCGGGGCCTTCCGCATGGGGTTTTAGATACTTCTTAGTCGAATGGAGGGCCTTAGGCTTCTGCCGGGGCCCCCACGCGATAAGATGCTCGGACCCATTCCATCGTGGGTGTCCTCTACGTCTGGTTTTGGGTACTTCCTTTTCTAATGGAGGGCCTTCCGCCCTTTTCGGGGGCCCTATCTGTTAGCCTGCTCTGGCGCACTCGGTTATTCGCGGCCTTCTTCATCGTGCCGTGGGTAATTCGGCTTTGAACGGAAGACCCTACGCTCTTGTCTGAGCCCCATCTGCTCACCTGCTCGGGCATACGGCACTATCCGGGGGCCCTCCACATTGTGTCTTTGATACTTCCTATCTGAATGGAGGGACCTACGCATTTGTCAGGGACTCCATCTGTTCGCCGCTTCGGCCACATTGGATTGTTCGTGGATTGAATATTGGGTCTTGGTGTTTGAATTTAGGTCCCTACACTCCTGTCTAGGCCACCTGATAATCTTATCGGCTATACTCCATCCTTCGGGGGCCCTCCGCACTGGGTTTTGAGTACTTCTTATTTTAATGAAGAGCCCTGCGCTCTTGTCGGCCTCCCTCTGATACGCTACTCGGGCACATTACATCATTCTGGGGTCATTTACTCAGGATCTTCGGTGCTTCCCATTCGAATGGAAGGCCTTTCGCTCTTGTTGGGAGTCCTGGTTGTTAACCTGCTCGGGCACACACGATCATTTGGGGGCCCTCTACAATGGGTTTTGGGTGCTTCCTATTTGAATAGAGGGTCCTGCGCTCTTTTTGGGAGCCTTGTCTGTTAACATGCTCAGGCACAATCGATCATTCAGGGGCCCTCTACATTGGGTCTTGAGTACGTCCAATTTGAATGGAGGGCCCCAAGCTCTTGACGTGGGCCCTATATCTTAACCTGTTCTGGCGCACTCGATCGTCCAGAGCCCTACACATTGCGTCTTGAGCATTTCTTATTTGTATGGATGCCCCTATGTTCTTAGCGGGCTCCACTTACTCAGCTGCTCGGGCCGGTGGCGGATGCAGACGGTGGGGGAGGAGGGGGGGGGGGGGGAGAAGGCACAGGACCATGCCCCATGGAACATGCCGAGGGACCCTAAAGGCTCTGAAGGGGCCCATAACCGGCCGGACGGACGCAGTTTCCTTACAACAAAGGCACAACAAAATTAGATGCGTTTGGGCCTACAGGGAACCAAGAACCATGGCCAGCAAAGGTAAAGAGTTCATAAGTCAACGAAGTTCATTCTTCGCTGATAGAGTGTTGCTGGGGAAAATTTTGAGGCTCATTACGCTGTCTAGAAGCATTACGCTGTTGGCTGCCTGTTCCTGTGTCCACTTTCTGCGCCAATCTGATCGCTAAAGAGCTTTCCACGTTACCCTTGATCTCTTCCCATTTTTTCGTAGGGCCGCTATCTGCTGTGCTAGTGCTGTTGGGACGCTATCTGCCTCCATGCTTGGGCACTGTTGATCAATGGGGTTTTCCTCCACGGATTCTTCCCATTCGCCCGCAAGGCTACATACGTTTTTTTTTTTTCCGGGGCCGCATATGCCAGAGTATACTCAGTTATTCAGTTGTCACACATAGAGCCGACTTTTCGCATGGTATTACGAATTTTTGCACCTTCCTGCCTCCACGGCTGCCAATCCGCATATGCTTGACACGTACAACCATCTGAAAGATTGTTCGAGGGTGTCTAAGCCCGGTGCGTAACCGCCCTCTGTTTTGGAGGACGTATAAGTTCGGTGCGTAACCGCCCTCCGTTTTGGAGGGTGTATACGCACTGCCAACATGCAGTGCGTGCTGCATTCACGACCTTGACATTAGGACAACTATAACTTTTTTGATACAGCATACCGTTCCAAGATTTTGTGTTTATCGCTATCAGTAGGTCGGTATCTACCAGCACGCTGAGTTTAGAAAGAATTGGAGGAGTCCGCCTTTTTAATGTGGTCTTTCACATTACTATATCTCAGGTAATAGGGCGTACCGGTCCGAGATTTTGTGCTCAATGTGTTCAGGAGATTAAACCGCATCTGTTTGCAAAGTTTCAGGTAAGTTGAGGAGTCCGCTGAACCCCGAATGTGGACCTGAATATGAATGTGAATGTGGTGCCAACTTGACAGACGTTTGAGCACAATGCTTACTTTGCTTCGTTTATTGCGCAGTTGTCGCGTGCACTGGTGTTTTGGACCTCTCAGCGGAGTGCTGCGAGTACGAGGGACCGGGGCATGTCTCGCATTTTGTAGGCGTGTTGCACGTGGTTCGTGTTGGGGGCGATATGGATGCTGTAATTTACCGATGAGCCCAGGTCAAGAGTTGTGATAATCAAGTAGGTCATCTACACAAAACAGCCTTATTTGGCCCTTCACCATACTAGAGCCCCAATCAGCCATCATTTTTGTTATTGTTTTGAAGCAGTGCGCTTTTGAATGCTGGTTGTTTCAAACAACTAGTCAGTGGTTGTGATGTAGCTTCAGTCATTCCAGTAGGTTGAACACAAATTGTCATTTAGCGAGCCTTCTATTGTGATGATTTTGCATACTCCTGCCTCTGCTGGTGGAAAAATGTCATCCACAGCCTGTGATGATGCCTTTTTCTGAGAATATTACAGTCTTAGCTTTTCAGTGTAACAACTGCCCTAGCTGGCATGTGTCTGTTCATCTGTCTATTGACATATGCAGGGAGAGGGGTTTTGACAGCATAACACAAGTATGACTGGGGATGGAAGGGAAGTTAGAGTGTACAATGTTGTGCTTGGGTGTGGTTTTAACCATGTTAAAGTTTTTTTAAATGTTGAAGCATTTAAGCTAGATGTGATTGACTTTCTCTTATGGCGAGTAACACACTGCCTTTGTTTTGTACTTAAAGCTAAATTTTGATCATCACCTTTTTTGTTGTCACTTTTGATGCAGCATAACCAAGAGGTTTTTTGACTCACTGTAATCAGTGTGTAACCAAGGGAAGGAGAGGGGGTTGAAAAAGGGGAAATGTGTGACATTGTGGAGGCTGCTGTTGGCTTTTATCTCATTCTAAAGATGCCAGGTTTGCATACTTTTGAAAAATGCTAACATTTTTAAGTGAACTGATGTTGCCAACCATTTATAATCATGCAGTTGACAGTGATATGGTTGCTGTTTCCAGATTCCTATGATCATTGGAACAGTTGATCACTTACATCCATCTTGCTGAGCAAGATGCGATGGAGGACAAGGACATTGGTGCGGGCTGCCCAACGGGTGCCCATCACTGGGCAGGCATCGTCCGCCGGCAGAAGTTTTGTCCGGCCCATTCACAGTGCCCCGCTAGGAGGATGCCAGCCAGGAGGAGTACTGTCAGCCCCGCATCAGTGAGCTGGGCATCCCCATGCTGTCGCCACGACTGCACGCGCAGGTGTTCGGCGCGCCTCCAGCGCCGGCCAGCCCAGAGCGCGTGCAGGCGGCGGTGGAGCATCTGACCGAGCACGGCCTGTGGGGCCGGCCGACCGACACGTTCCACGAGCCGCCGCTTCAGCTGCCGCCGCTGCGCGCCGGCTCGCTGGAGGAGCACTTCCGCCAGGAAGCGGAGCGCCAGAGCGGCCCATACCGCCGCCTCCTGGAGGCGCTGGTGGCCGGCGAGGCGCCCGAGCCGCCCTCCCACTGGCTCATGACCGCCGGATGGACGCGCTACGACCCGGACGGCAGCACGCGGCCGGTGGCCGTGCCCGACTGCGACGCCATGGTGCTCGACGTGGAGGTGGTGGTGCGGCGGCGCATGGTTGTCATGGCGACAGCAGTGTCGGCGGCCGCCTGGTACGGCTGGGTCAGCCCGCAGCTGGTGGAGGGCACCGTGCCAGCATCCGATACGCCCACGCTGGCCCAGCTGATCCCGCTGGACGCGTACAGCCGGCGACCCCGTGTCGTGGCCGGCCACAACGTCAGCTACGACCGCGCCTGGGTGCGCGAGCAGTACGCGCTCCGTCCGACCGGCACACGCTTTGTGGACACGATGAGCATGCATATTGCGGTCGGCGGCATCACAAGCCAGCAGCGCGCGCTAATGCTCGGCGCCAAGAAGAACGACGAGAAGCGACCGGTGCGCCGCGCCGCGCCAGACCTCAACTGGATGTCGCAAACGTCCATGAACTCGCTGGCCGACGTGTACAAGCTGTACTGCGGCGAGACGTTGGACAAGGACGCGCGCGACGTGTTCGTGCGTGGCGACGTGGCAGACGTGCGCGCGGAGTTCCAGTCGCTGATGGCCTATTGCGCCGGCGACTCGCGCGCCACGTGGCGTGTTCTGCGCCGCCTGCTGCCCGAGTTCCTGGAGAGGTTCCCACACCCGGCCACGCTGGCGGGCACGCTGCACATGGGCCAGGTGTACCTGCCGGTGGGCCCCGCCTGGCCGCGTTACCTGCGCCTCTGTGACGAGACCTACCACGACCTGGAGAACGAGCTGAGTGCGGCGCTGCGCCGCGTGGCGGCCGCCGCCTGCCGCGCCGCGCACGGCGGCGCCCACGCCGCCGACCCCTGGCTCTGGGACCTGGACTGGTCGACGCAGCCGCTGCGGCTGAAGAAGGCGCCGCCGCCGCCGCGGCAGCCGCCGCCGCCGCCGCCGCCGCTGCCGGCCGGCTGGGCGGACGGCTGCCGGCCGCTGACGGAGCGGGAATTCGAGTCGGACATGCCGCTGCCGGACCCGCTGGTGGAGCGGTTTGCGCCTCTCTGGCGCACCGCCTCCAGACTGTACAAGAAGCAGTCGCTGCTGCCCGGCTACCCCAAGTGGTACCGCGAGCTCTGCAACAAGGACGGCTCCGGTGAGGATTGGGGCTGGTTTTGGACACCCTGGATGCCTTACGTGTGGCTTGGTTAGTCAGATCAACACATTCTACCTTGCTATGTGGCTGATCACTGTTATGCTGCACTTTCTGCGGGAATGAATTTGTGATGGTTTGACTCATGTATAGCTGCAACAATCGCCAGTGCACGATTTTTTATAGTTGTGTTACTCTTTGTCGCTTGCACATGGTTTGCTTGCTGCTGTTTGCCATCGTTAGCAGCTCTTTTTTTACCCATATCGCCCTGGTGAAGTTGCACGGTTCACATTTTGTCACATGTACTGAGCGCGTGCCTGCTCCAGGGCTTACCGAGCTGACCACCTCCAAGCGGGTGGTACCGAAGCTGCTGCGCCTTACCTGGGACGGCTACCCGCTCCACTTCGACTAGTCGCTTCGGCTGGGGTTTCCTGGTGCCGGGCCGGCCGGACCCGGACCTGCGCCCGCCGCTGGCTGCCGAGCACGGATCGCCCGACTTCCCGCTAGAGGCGCTGCAGTCGCTGGTGGCGGCGCGCCCGGCCGGCCGGCCTGACCCGACGGAGGAGAGTCCGGCCATCGACGAGGTGGCGCTGCGGGGCTGCCGCTTCCACCCGCTGCCGCACAAGGACGGCCTGGGCAACAACGTCGGCAACCCGCTCGCCAAGCACTTCCTGGGTCAGGTAAGACGGGCGGCCGGGTGCGAGGCTGCTGTTAGCGGGGTGCCACCACTCATGGATGGTGTTATCGCCGTGGTCGTCTGATTTTTAAATCTGTTATTAGGGTAGTGAGGCGTTTGTGTTTTATATTGATTATTTCGTGACCCAGGTTGAATCCGAAGCGTGGCGAAATTAATTTTATGTACGGCTTGACCTATGTGGTACTTGACTATCAATCATGCTATTATTTCTACAGCTATAACACTTTAAGTATCACTTATGCCATGTTCGGAAAAGTTTCCGTTTACTCACAACGCGCTGCGTATGGGCCGAAAGACTGACCCCCACTCCAGAGTGCTTGCGCTCCCGTGCACTGATCTTCCGCCGTCGAGCAGCGCGTGACTGTGGGTCCGCCGGCGGCAGGTGGAGGGCGGCACGCTGTCGTCGGCCGGCGGCTCATCGGCCGAGCGCGTGCTGCGTGTCAGCCAGACTATCTCGTACTGGCGCAACAACCAGGAGCGCATCACCTCCCAGCTGGCGGTGTTCGGCCGGCGCTCCGAGCTGCCGCGCAGCGTCACCTCGCACCCGGACTACGAGGCCGACCAGCAGTACGGCGCCATCCTGCCACAGGTGCGGCCGGCGGGGAGACGCCAGGCCTCGGTGCTGGTCGGGCAGCTGCTGGGCCGGGCTGCTGGGTAGCTGGCGGAGAGACGCCAGGCTGCTGGGCTGGGCGGGCGCCAGCAGCCGGCTGGGGGCGGGAGCAGCCGCTCTTGAGCCCGGGCTGGAGCGCCCTGGCGTCTCGCGCAGGATGGCTTGGCAGGCTCTCATGTGTTGTATGTATGCCCTGCGTATGTACGTATGTCGTATGCCGCTCTGTATGCCGCTCTGCGGTACCGGAGTGGAAGAGGTGTGTGGGTCGGCGTGACCGGCAGTTGATCACCTCTCGGGAGTCGCATGTGTGTTCGCTGTCCTGACTCCTGCGCTGGGTGCAGCGGGCAGAACGCTCTGACGGTGCCGGGCCGCTCTGGCGCGTTAGCCGCGCACTGCGAGCGTGGGCGGCTGCAGTCGTAGCCAAGCACGTCGGCCACGTCCTTGGTGGGACGCACCGCCTGTTCCGTTGGCTGGAGTTGACATGTTGTGTCTGTCCCAGCCAGTGGATCACCGCCCCCCCCCCCCCCCCCTCCCTCCCGCCGGCTACGGCTGCGTGTGCGCTGACTGTCTTTTGAACCGCTCTCCCACTTCCGTTCTTCCGGATCGCACCACCACCATCGTTAGCTGCTGCCCCAGCCCCTATGTGTCATGTACCCATCACAGCACGTTCGGTTGGAACGGCCGTGTCGCACTCTGAAGCCGCCGCGGCCGCCGCGCTCCGCTAGGTGGAGGTGGCCGGCCGCTGCCTCGCCGCGCTCCGCTAGGTGGAGGTGGCCGGCCGCTGCCTCGCCGTGCTCCGGCAGGTGGAGGTGGCCGGCCGCTGCCTCGCCGTGCTCCGGGAGGTGGAGGTGGCCGGCCACCGACCCACCGCGCTCCGCTAGGTGGAGGTGGCCGGCCGCTGCCTCGCCGCGCTCCAGCAGGTGGAGGTGGCCGGCCGCTGCCTCGCCGTGCTCCGGCAGGTGGAGGTGGCCGGCCGCTGACTCGCCGTGCTCCGGCAGGTGAAGGTGGCCGGCCGCTGACCCCCCGCGCTCCGGCAGGTGAAGGTGGCTGGCCGCTGACCCGCCGCGCTCCGGCAGGTGAAGGTGGCGCTGGGCGTGACCCCCTCGCTCCGGCGGTGAAAGGTGGCCGCACTCTGACCCGCCCACCACGCCGCGCTCCGGAGTGAAGGTGGACGGCCGCTACCCGTGCGCTCGGCAGGTTGAAGGTGGCTGGCCGCTGACTCACCACGCTCTCCGGCAGGTGAAGGTGGCACGTGCCGCTGACCCCGCCGCGGCTCTCCGGCAGGTGAAGTGGCCGGCCGCTGACTACACCAACCACCTCCGGCATGTGAAGGGTGCCGGCCGCTGACTCGCCGTGCTCCGGCAGGTGAAGGTGGCCGGCCGCTGACGTCCACAACGCCCGGCAGGTGAAGGTTGCCGGCCGCTGACGTCCGCCGCGCGCCGGCATTAAGGTGGCCGTCGGCCGGCTGACTCACCCGCTCCGTCAGGTGAAGGTGGCCGGCGCTGACCCGCCGTTGCCTCGGCAGGTGGAGGTGGCCGGCGCTGCCTCGTCGTGCTCCGGCAGGTGAAGGTGGCCGGCCACCGACCCACCGTGCTCCGGCAGATGAAGGTAGCCGGCCGCTGACTCACCACGCTCCGGCAGGTGAAGGTGGCCGGCCGCTGACCCGCCGCGCTCCGGCAGGTGAAGGTGGCCGGCCGCTGACCCGCCGCGCTCCGGCAGGTGAAGGTGGCCGGCCGCTGACCCGCCGCGCTCCGGCAGGTGGAGGTGGCCGGCCGCTGCCTCGTCGTGCTCCGGCAGGTGAAGGTGGCCGGCCACCGACCCACCGCGCTCCGGCAGATGAAGGTAGCCGGCCGCTGACTCACCACGCTCCGGCAGGTGAAGGTGGCCGGCCGCTGACCCCCCGCGCTCCGGCAGGTGAAGGTGGCCGGCCGCTGACCCGCCGCGCTCCGGCAGGTGAAGGTGGCCGGCCGCTGACCCGCTGCGCTCCGGCAGGTGAAGGTGGCCGGCACGCTGACTCGCCGGGCGGTGGAGCGCACCTGGCTGACGGCCAGTAACGTGCAGCCGGACCGTCTGGGCTCAGAGCTGCGCGCCATGGTGCAGGCGCCGCCCGGCCACCACCTGGTCGGCGCGGACGTGGATTCGCAGGAGCTCTGGCTGTCGGCCGTCATCAGCGACGCCGCCTTCACCCGCCTGCACGGCAGCACCGCCTTCAGCTGGATGACGCTGCAGGGTGAGCGCTGGGTCAGGCCGCCGGCGGGACGGAGCGCTGAGGAGAGGGCCGGTGGGAGGGGGTTGTGTTCAGATGTGGTGGATGTGATCACGTGCGGATGGGTGGCTGGACCGGGCGTGGTTCACGATAAATCGTCCATGAGTGGCGGTAGGGAACGCAGGCTAATGCGCTATAGTATGTCCATGCTTGCACGTCCTCGGTGTTTGGGATACTGGTTCACCATGTGCACAGCAGTCAGTATTTGGCTCGAGCCCGTGCTATTTTAATCGGGTTAGATATCTATTCTAAAGTCGATGACCCTTTGGACTCTCTCTCTCAGTCAGTTCGGCTTGAAGTTTTAGACGTACACAGATTCGGCGATAATAGCTTACTGCTCCATTTTTACACATTTGTTGCGCGTTAGACGAAACACGTTTCCAACTTTTGTTCAGCTAATAGCATGAATGCTCCGTTATTCAAATCAACACATTTTATATGGCATAAGCAAATAAGCGCTGTCACTATTCTAGTTGACATTATTCGATTACTTGTACATTAAAGCTTTCGCAAGTCGTGTTTTGACCCCTTTAAAGATGACGCCAAGTCGTTTCAACCTTTGTTCTAGTTTAATGCTGTTGTATCTGCGACCATTTCGTCTCTGCCCAGCTGGCAAGGAGTGTGTCCGGCGGTATGTTCGGAGGCAGACCACACTGGCAGCTGTGCCTTCGACTCCAGCGCGCTCTGGCCGCTAGCTGATCCTCGCGGTCGCCAACGAGCGCGCCAGCTCTGCCGCCGGCGGCCGCGGTCAGCAGCGCCCCGCCCGCCCCGCTGGTACATGAGTGGCGACCGCCTTAACTGCTGCGCGCGCCGGCAGGCAAGAAGTCCGAGGGCACGGACCTGCACTCGCGTACGGCCGAACTGATCGGAGTGTCCCGCGGCCTGGCCAAGGTGCTCAACTACGGCCGTATCTACGGCGGGGCGCGCCCGTTCGCCGTGCAGCTGGTGCGCCAGCACAGCCGCCAGCTGCCGCAGCTGGAGCTGGAGCGACGCGTGGCCGAGATGTACCGCCGCACCAAGGGCAGCCGACGCTGGCCGCTCAACGGCCGCGGCCGTCGCGCGCTGGAGCAGCTGAGGCGGGCGCTGCAGGACGGAGAGGTGAGAGCGGAGGGGAGGCAGCAGAGGGGGGAACAGCGGGCGCTGGAGGACGGAGGGGTGAGAGCGGAGCTCAGGCGGCAGAGGGGGTGGGACAGCGGTAGCTCAGGCGGGCGCTCGAGGATGGAGAGGTGAAAGTGGAGGGGAGGCGAGAGGGATGGACGGCGGTTGCCTAGGGGGGGGGGAGGACTGAGAGGGGGGGGGGGGCGGCAGAAGTGGGAGGGCGGGAGATGACTCTGTCATCACCCAAGAGCTCCGATCTCAAGGAGGAAGGCGGGACGTGGCGAATGGAACGTTCGATGCGCTGAGTACATTTGGAACTGTGGAGCTGGATTAAAGCGGATGAGAAGCGTTGCTTGGATACCTTGTGTTCGCATTGTGTCCCTTTCCACATTGAGGGTATTCAGTTTGGCGAACCTCCGCACACTTCCTGTCACTTAAAAAAGATTCTGCGGTGGTTTGTGGTTCTCCGATAACGGCGTACTCTTCTTTTCCGGTGACAAGGCCGACTTGTCCTCCGTTGTTTTTTGGACTCGGTCAGTTCTGCAATTAATGCCGTCGGAAATCGGGCTCTATTCTGCTACCCCTACAGCAGACAACCCTGCTGACCGGCTTAACTGACCTGCTGTGGTCGCCCCTGGCATGCTCCGCTCCTCGGTCGTCCCAGACTTGTCGCATCTCCGTGACCTCAGGAGCCGCATTGGGTTGTCCGTGACCTGCCGCAGTCGCGCCTGGCCTGTCGCGTGCCCGTGACCCCAGGAGGCGGACCCGGTGCTCCCTGACCTGCTCCGGTGCTCTCTGACCCGTCGCGTGCCGGTGGCCCCAGGAGCTGGACTCGGTGCTCCCTGACCTGCCCCGGTGCTCCCTACCCTGCTCCGGTGCTCTTTGACCCGTCGCGTGTCGGTGACCCCAGGAGCTGGACCCGGTGCTCCCTGACCTGCCCCGGTGCTCCCTACCCTGCTCCGGTGCCCTTTGACCCGTCGCGTGCCGGTGACCCCAGGAGCTGGACCCGGTGCTCCCTGACTTGCTCCGGTGCTCTCTGACCCGTCGCGTGCCGGTGACCCCAGGAGCTGGACCCGGTGCTCCCTGACTTGCTCCGGTGCTCTCTGACTCGTCGCGTGTCGGTGACCCCAGGAGCCGGACCCGGTGCTCCCTGACCTGCCCCGGTGCTCTCTGACCCGTCGCGTGCCGGTGACCCCAGGAGCCGGACCCGGTGCTCCCTTACTTGCTCCGGTGCTCTCTGACCCGTCGCGTGCCGGTGACCCCGGGAGCCGGACCCGGTGACCCCAGGAGCCGGACCCGGTGCTCCCTGACCTGCCCCGGTGCTCCCTGACCTGCCCCGGTGCTCTCTGACTCGTCGCGTGCCGGTGACCCCAGGAGCCGGATCCGGTGCTCTCGGACCTGCTGTCGGGCGTCGCTGACGACGAACCGTGGACGGTGGCGCGCGTCACGCTGCTGGGGCGGCTCTCGGGTGCCTCCCGGAACTGGCGCGACCTGGTGGGCCGGCCCGTCTGGTACGGCGGCACCGAGAGCTACATGTTCAACGAGGTCAGCCACGGTCTGCCCGCTGGCGGCCAGATGATCGCCGCCACTTAGTTTGCTGCAGACGTGTATGCAGAGCATCAGTTATTGGCCGCTGCTTGTTGTTACAACACTCCCACCGAATATGCCCCTAAGCAGTCATCAACCATCAACTGTCAAAAAAAGAATTGAAGTCAGAGCAACTAATCAGTGTCGAATGACAGCATTCCAGTTGTGTGAAACCTCAGCAACCAAGAGATGTGCACCAGATCGTGGCCCTGCACAGTCCCATTCTTCCCCGCCCTTGCTTGTCCGTAGTCCACCCTGTGCTGATCCCGTCTCACCCTGTACCAGCCCTGTGCTCACCCTCTGTGACCCTGTACAAGCCCATTTTGACCTTGTGCCGACCCGTGGTGACCTTGTGTTGACCCCATGTGTATCCATGGTAGCCCGGCGCTGACCCCATGATAGCCCTGTGCCGAGCCCCTGCTGGGACCATGCCTGCCTCTTGCTGACCCTGCGCTGGCGCGTGCTGGCCCCATGCCGACCCTGCGCTGAAGTCGTGCTGACCCCGTGCTGACCCTGCGCTGGCGCGTGCTGGCCCCATGCTGGCCTTGCGCTGACATCGTGCCGCTGACCGGCTCGGCAGCTGGAGTCGGTGGCCTCGGGGCTGACACCGAGCACGCCGGTGCTGGGCGCGCGCATCACGCGCGGTCTGGAGCCAGAGCTGGTGGGCGACAACTTCATGACGTCACGCGTCAACTGGGTGGTCCAGAGCTCGGCTGTCGACTTCCTCCACCTGATGCTGGTCTGCATGCGCTGGCTGATGGACGAGTGCCGCATCGAGGGCCGCTTCTGCATCAGCATCCACGACGAAGTGCGGTGAGGGCGCGGCGTCGGATCGGCTGGGATTAGGGTCGCTGGGAGCCCTGTGCGGCCGGAGGGCTGTCTGTGTAGGCGGTGGGTGTCAGAGCCCCCCTCCCTGTACAGGCCGGAGGACTGTCTGTGCAGGCGACGGGTGTCAGAGCCCCCCCCCCCCCTCCCTTTACAGGCCGGAGGACTGTCTGCAGGCGGTGGGTGTCAGAGCCCCCCTCCCTGTACAGGCCGGAGGGCTGTCTGTGCAGGCGGTGGGTGTCAGAGCCCCCCTCCCTGTACAGGCCGGAGGACTGCCTGTGCAGGTGGTGGGTGTCAGAGGCCCCCCCCCCCCTCCCTTTACAGGCCGGAGGACTATCTGTGCGGACGGTGGATGTCGGAGCCTCCCTTGCCCCCGCACAGGCCGCTGCCGGGCAGCCGCTGTCTGTAGTATCAGACTGGAGACGGACTGCGCCAGGGCGCCGGTTGACCCGTGGGACAGCCGCTGTCTGTAGTATCAGACTGGAGACGGACTGCGCCAGGGCGCCGGTTGACCCGTGGGACAGCCGCTGTCTGTAGCATCAGACTGGAGACGGACTGCGCCAGGGCGCCGGTTGACCCGTGGGACAGCCGCTGTCTGTAGTATCAGACTGGAGACGGACTGCGCCAGGGCGCCGGTTGACCCGTGGGACAGCCGCTGTCTGTAGTATCAGACTGGAGACGGACTGCGCCAGGGCGCCCGTCGACCCGTGGGACAGCCGCTGTCTGTAGCATCAGACTGGAGACGGACTGCGCCAGGGCGCCGGTTGACCCGTGGGACAGCCGCTGTCTGTAGCATCAGACTGGAGACGGACTGCGCCAGGGTGCCGGTTGACCCGTGGGACAGCCGCTGTCTGTAGTATCAGACTGGAGACGGACTGCGCCAGGGTGCCGGTTGACCCGTGGGACAGCCGCTGTCTGTAGCATCAGACTGGAGACGGACTGCGCCAGGGCGCCGGTTGACCCGTGGGACAGCCGCTGTCTGTAGTATCAGACTGGAGACGGACTGCGCCAGGGCGCCGGTTGACCCGTGGGACAGCCGCTGTCTGTAGTATCAGACTGGAGACGGACTGCGCCAGGGCGCCGGTTGACCCGTGGGACAGCCGCTGTCTGTAGCATCAGACTGGAGACGGACTGCGCCAGGGCGCCGGTTGACCCGTGGGACAGCCGCTGTCTGTAGTATCAGACTGGAGACGGACTGCGCCAGGGCGCTCGCTGACCCGTGGGACAGCCGCTGTCTGTAGCATCAGACTGGAGACGGACTGCGCCAGGGTGCCGGTTGACCCGTGGGACAGCCGCTGTCTGTAGTATCAGACTGGAGACGGACTGCGCCAGGGCGCCGGTTGACCCGTGGGACAGCCGCTGTCTGTAGCATCAGACTGGAGACGGACTGCGCCAGGGCGCCGGTTGACCCGTGGGACAGCCGCTGTCTGTAGTATCAGACTGGAGACGGACTGCGCCAGGGCGCTCGCTGACCCGTGGGACAGCCGCTGTCTGTAGCATCAGACTGGAGACGGACTGCGCCAGGGCGCCGGTTGACCCGTGGGACAGCCGCTGTCTGTAGTATCAGACTGGAGACGGACTGCGCCAGGGCGCCGGTTGACCCGTCAGCTCGGCGCTGTGCGCCGGGCGGCTACAGTGGCGCCGTTCTCACCGTCAGCCTGAGAACCAGGTCACCAGGGTGGGACCACCACACCTGGCAGGTGGGGATTAATTGCGGGTGATGGATGACCGCTGCCCGTCTGATGCCATGTGATTGGTGGTCACTGCTTTTCCAGGTTATAAGAAATCGCCACCCCCATACCAAGCGAAAGTGATTGCCTCGTTCATGCCTACCAAGTGATTGGGGATCCCTTCTGCCTCCAGATGTATGGTGACGGGCGCTGGTTTGTTCTCCGTGTACCTGGTGATTAGTGACCACGGTGCCCTTGAGGTACCTGGTACCTAACCATCGGCCATCGCCATCTGGGCACGTAGCGATCAGTCGCCGGTGTTCGCCAAACATCTGGAGCCAGCGACTCCTCTTCGCCAGCCACGCGCATTCCATGACCTCCACTGACCTCGGGCAAAAGCTGATCCGTGGTTGCTGTTCCTTGCTGGTGTTGGAATTGATGACTTCTGCCTCGTGGGTAACTGAGTATTTCAGGAGAAAGGGTCAACGATCGGTGTTTAAGTAAACCAGTCAACGCCCCCCCCCCCCCCCCTCCCCTGAGGGCACGTGTCGATCGTAGCCCTCAGCGCAGTGGGGGCAACCAGTCACTGTCATTCAGCGGCAGCTTCAGTGTTGGCTGGCTGTGGTCGCTTGTCGGACGCTGTGTGAGCGGCGGCGGCCTGCGGGCGCCCGGTGACCGGCGGGCCCGCGCCGGCAGGTACCTGGTGCGCTCGGAGGACCGGTACCGGGCCGCCCTGGCGCTGCAGGTCACCAACCTGCTGACGCGCGCCATGTTCGCCCGCGCGCTCGGCCTGGACGACCTGCCGCAGTCGGTGGCCTTCTTCAGCGCCGTGGACATCGACCGCGCCCTCCGCAAGGAAGTCACCGATGACTGCAGGTGCGGTGGCCTCCGCCCCGCCGGCCGCTCCCCTCGGAGGGACTCCCCCGGCGGCTGGGCTCGGGCGGTGCTCCCGAAGGCTGCGCTCGGAGGACTATGTGTGAAGTGTGCTCCCCTCGGAGGGACTCCCCCGGCGGCTGGGCTCGGGCGGTGCTCCCGAAGGCTGCGCTCGGAGGACTATGTGTGAAGTGTGCTCCCCTCGGAGGGACTCCCCCGGCGGCTGGGCTCGGGCGGTGCTCCCGAAGGCTGCGCTCGAAGGACTCTATGTGAAGTGTGCTCCCCTCGGAGGGACTCCTCCCGCCGGCTGGGCTCGGGCGGTTCTCCCGAAGGCTGCGCTCGAAGGACTCTATGTGAAGTGTGCTCCCCTCGGAGGGACTCCTCCCGGCGACTGGGCTCGGGCGGTGCTCCCGAAGGCTGCGCTCGAAGGACTATGTGTGAAGTGTGCTCCCCTCGGAGGGACTCCCCCGGCGGCTGGGCTCGGGCGGTGCTCGCGAAGGCTGCGCTCGGAGGACTATGTGTGAAGTGTGCTCCCCTCGGAGGGACTCCTCCCGGCGGCTGGGCTCGGGCGGTGCTCGCGAAGGCTGCGCTCGGAGGACTATGTGTGAAGTGTGCTCCCCTCGGAGGGACTCCTCCCGGCGGCTGGGCTCGGGCGGTGCTCCCGAAGGCTGCGCTCGGAGGACTATGTGTGAAGTGTGCTCCCCTCGGAGGGACTCCCCCGGCGGCTGGGCTCGGGCGGTTCTCCCGAAGGCTGCGCTCGGAGGACTATGTGTGAAGTGTGCTCCCCTCGGGAACGTTCTCGGAGGAGGTCCGTCGGAGGAGACCCATTTGAGTACTAATGAAGCTGGAAATTTCATCATGGACCTCACAAAAAGCTCTCCCCCAAAGTGACTGTCCTTGGAGGGCTTGCAAATGGTGTTGTCCGGGAAGGACCCGCTGCTGTAAGTTTGTACTCGTCGCTGTTAGTGGGGAGCTGCTTTTCAGAGGCTCAGTAGATTGCCCTCTATATGGACTAGAGTTGGTGGGACGATCCCCATTGTGCGAGGTGGTCTTTGAAGAACCTGTATGGGCCACTGCATGTATGGGCTGCTCTCATATTGAATTATGGATCTTAACACTGGGTAACGACCGTCTGCCAGGAGCGTAAGCACTGGGTATGGATGGCAGGGGGGTATTTTACGTTAACATTGGGGCTGCCCAGGATGGGATGGGCTACCTTTGTAGGAACGGTACAAGTGGCGGCATGGGTGATGGACAATTACTGGACCTCGGGGTAGGATTTCTCTGGTGGCCAAATGCGAAGCACTTCCGTCCATACGTCCTTGCAAGGACGACATTAAATGTCATATCGTTCTGACCGGCTTTTACGGCGGGGAATCACCAGCAACGAACAACTGCAGTGCTAACTACCAACTTTTAACTTACCTGCAAACGTCCGTACTGTCTGTTTGACGTGATCCGGTTCGGTTTTACCGGCTGTCATTTTTGAGGGATTTCAACCATGCTGTGCTCCAACGCCATTGTGTGGGGGCTCGCGAGGTCGGGGTCATCGGACTAATGAGCGTGTTGTCTGTGGCAGGACGCCGTCCAACCCGCACGGTCTGGAGGCCACCTACAAGGTGCCGCCGGGCGAGGCGGTCGACATCCACCAGACGGTGGAGAAGGCCGGCAGCTCGCTGCTGCCGCGGCCGCGCGCCGAGAGGGCTCCGCGACAGCGGCAGATGTCGCCCTGATCGGCGGCGCGTCTGACGGGGCTGAACAGGCGCCTCTCCTCTGAGCTTGGTGCCCTCTGCTCTGAGGCCGGCGCCCTCTCCTCTCAGCCTGATGCCCTCTCCTCTCAGCCTGACGCCCTCTCCTCTCAGCCTGACGCCCTCTCCTCTCAGTCTGACGCCCTCTCCTCTCAGTCTGACGGCCTCTGCTCTGAGGCCAGCGCCCCTGTCTCCCAGCTTCTCCGTGTCCGCCTCGTCAGCGAATGTTGCGGGGTGTCTCAGACCCTGATCCGGACTCTGATGTCCCCGCCCTAGTCTTGCCCAGGCCGTGGTCGCCGTGGGCCGACGGGGCTGCCAAGAGTGGCTGTGACTGTGTGGGCCGTTGGAGTCGAACGCATCGGTGTTACAGTGTCAGTCGGCCAGGTGTTTTCAAGACGGCTCCAGCAGCCCCGTGGGTGGTGCCGCCGCGAGCTGCGTGGCTGCTGGGGCGTCACGTTGAGATGTGCTCCTTGTTTTTAGACGGCAGGTGCTGTGCGGAGAATACGCCTTGACTGCGTCCAGCCGACACTCCCGTGGCACTGACGCATTGTCATCCCAATATATTTCGCACAAGCTCTTGGCGTTTTCGGAACAATGGAACGAGGCACCTAGACATTTGGACACCACGCGTGGCCGCGCTGTGTTCATGGCAGTGGTTGGTATCACGGTTAACAGGCGAGCAGTTCTAGTCCTCGGTATGCGGCCCCCAACTTGATGCGGCACCCAGCTGTAGAGCGGTAGGCATGGTCCACGGGACTGGCTCGCGCGGTGACAGAGTCGAACTGAAGGTGGCCTGGCGACTCGGACTACCGCCATGAGCTATCCGCGGCCCCACTTGACGCATAGGCCCTCTGCGAAGTCGGGTCGATAACAGGAGCAAATCTATTGGAGATATCGGAGGAGACGTCGAAATTGGCGGCAAGCGAGTGGTACTATGCATCAGCTATCACAAAGCGATGAGCGCACGCTGTATAACGATGTCTTCACTGAAAAGAATAACTCCAAGCATTCTATCTGCGTCTGATAAAAAACGGTACCTTTACGCGCGCGCACTGGCGCATACTGACGCATACAGATCCGGCTCGAACGTCTCCCCTGTCTCGTGGTACCTTTCCTCGGCTTTTTGCGCAGAGTCCTGAGCCTGTCTGCTGAGAGTAGCAGGCCTGACAGTTGAGTTCTGGCTAAGGCCGCTCCACAACACAACGTCACACGGCGCTGCCAGAGGTTATCGACACCTGCAGTACTGCGACGCCGTGGTCATAATGCCCCGTGACAGTGCAGTGAGGGCTGGTTCGACACACCTTGGTCATTTGTGTGGGGGTAGGCACAAGGGGGAGGGGGGGAACGGCACACGTTAACGATATCAGAATTTGTCCTGAGCAAATGGGAAAGACAGCTGTCATGCACGAACCAGCCCCCAAAAGATCAACGCGTAGTTTCTAGTTATCAGCTTTTTGCTGTCCGGCAGTTAGCTGTTTCAAATTGAGCTTTCGTGGACAACTGCTACAGGGATTCGAGGGCTGTCTGCTCCGTCCTGCTTGCTGGCGCTGTTTGCGTAGACCGTGCCTTGCATAAGGTGATGAATAAGTTTGACATTCGGCCGGTAGTTCCTGGTTGGATTTAGTGTCCCTATTACCCAAGCACAGTGCTACTTTTTTAGTGGCAAATTTTAATGTTGAGATTTTGCGACTGTTTGATCGACTAAGGCCGCATTTTAAGTGTCGCAGTCTCCTGGTAAATTGCGTTTTAAGGCGGTGTTAGCTTCACTAGGCTGCGCGCTGACGCGCGATATATTCCCTATCCGCCACGAGCATGATGAGACATGCGGGGACCTCAGAAACGGTTCCCGGCGGTCTGACAAAATGTTCCAGGTGCGATACGATCACTTTCTATGCCTTTTGCGGATCCAAGTCTGTGTGACTTCGGAACCGATGCAGTGCAATAACATGCGCTCTGCAAGATCCAGTTGTTCATGTTTGATTTCCATGACGATTTAGTTAAGACGAGCGCATTGATTAGTGTACGTGACTAAGGGAGCCCTCCTATCTTCCTGAGGGCACCTCTGGTGATGTTTTGTTCTGTACTGGTCCTCTGCAGAACGGCCTCGGTCCGAGCGCTCCCAGGGAAGTCCCTCCCTAGCTTGACAGCTCGCTCCGCCGGATCATCGACGCATGTGAGGCTTGAGGCATCGAGGCTCGATGCACGTAAGGCATCGAGCGGCGAAAGGAGGGGACCGAAATCCAGGCTGAGCTGTGTAGGGTCTTTCCCAGTGCGTTTGAGGATACTCGACTGGAGTTTGAACTTGGACGCGAAGTGCAAGTAAAATCATTGAAAAAACTGACATTAACCTTATTTCCCATTCGAATGGCGCATAAATGTACATTTGCATGGACAGTAATGATATATCAGCGCTTCAAACCGGGGGGCCATGCGTCTTAAACCAGGACAGCTGTATCGTTGAATTCTACAAATCCTTGACTCGCATGCGCACATTGCAGATCGTGAGCACCGTTTCTTGGGCACCGCCACACGTCTGGTCATGCCCACAGAGGGTACCAAATACGGCGGGCGTCAGTGCACAACCCAGTGAAGCGGGCAGTACATTACAGCGTAAGTTGGGCCGAAGATTACAGGTCAAAAATGTGATTTCAGTTGATCAAAAGGCCGCAAAAACCCAACGTTAATTAGTTTTATCTGGAATTTTGTGTGCGTGATCGGGACACCAAATCCAGCCAGGAACTACCGGGTGCGTGTCAAAATTGTTCCTCACCTGAAAGGCACGGTCCACCGTTTGTGCACCAAACATTGACGAGAGATGGCACCACATGACTGTAGCCTATCACCACGGGGAGCCGAGAGGCGGCGCCACTGGGCAGTTGCCGCCAAAGATGGCGTCGCACACCGCGAGGACCTGGCCCGCCAGAGGTCTGATGAACCTGTGCGTGGTCCGGTCGACAATCGAGTCCTTCTTCATGCAGTCGAACCCGCCAAACTCGCAGATCCGGAAGTGATGCACCAGGCCGAAGTGCTCACCGACGTTCATCGAGCGAAATCCTGCGGAGGGCGGTGCGGGTCAGGGCGGGACGTTACGGCAGGCTTTGATTGATCCAGTCACGGCCACCCGCTGGTCGGAAAAAATACAGCTTCTCGTTTTTGGCGCGATTGTGGCCGTTGACGGGCACGCAGTCGGTGCTTCTCCATGAGGGCAAATGGCAATTTTTCTCCCGCTTCTGCAAATTCTTCAGGTCGAACTTCCGCAAATTTGGAACGAATAGTTGTAAAATTGCCCGGAACCTACTGTAAACTTCTTAGCTCGGCGGGGTTCTCTTCCAGACTTTCAAACCCTTCAGTGAACGCTGCGGGACGCCAATAACTTACAATTCACTTGCATCGTTCTCTTTGCAAAGTTAGCTAGCTTTGAAAATCGGTCGGATGCATTACGAAACTGACGCTTCCATATTGATGGTTCTAGCCAGTTAGAAAAGCCAGACCGTCTTGAATGGTCCTGCCGAGCACCCGCTCATGCAGTCGTTCAAATAAATCTTAACTTCTAATGCTAGGTAACTGAATCGTGTGGCGTGCCTGCACCATTAATGGTCGTCCATAAATTATGTTACGCATGGAGGCGGCCGGGAGGCTTTGATCTAGCGTAACGGATGGAATGGAATAGAAGTAACAGGAAGGAATGAACGGGTGTCCGAGAGCACAACATTCCGCTCAGGTGTGATTGCATACCACGCTAAATCTTAGAAAAAGACCTTAAAACTTTAAAGCCGGATGTCGATGACCTGTCATACCAAGAAACACGCCTGCTAGTCGTTTCGCATCTCTTGCTGAGGTCGGTGACCTGAGCGGCCCGTCATCGGCCTGATGCTGTCAGTCTCGGGCGGCCATCGCCCTCGAAGGTAGGCCGTTGGCTCCGCGTGTGGACAGCCAGGCGCCGCGGTGATGCCGCGATGGGGTGTTAACCCCACGCTCCGCATCAGGACCCCCCACCCCCGCCCCCACTGGTGAGGCTGCAGGCCTGTCGGCGGCTCGCAGTCCGTTCTATGCACTCGTAACTCTTGCGCTGCCGCCCTGCAAAAGCCGGCGCCGCCACAGTATGACCGGTTGCCTACATCACACGTGACGACGCATCGATCGCCGGGGTGCCGGCTGGTCCGGCCGGGCTCGGCCCGACCGGCTGGTCCGGCCGGGCTCGGCCCGACCGGCTGGTTCGGTCGGGCTCGGCCCGACTGGCTGGCCCGGCCGGGCTCGGGCCGGTCGGCTGGTCCGGCCAGGCTCGGGCTGACCGGCTGGTCCGGCCGGACTCGGGCCGACCGGCTGGTCCGGCTGGACTCAGGCTCGGGCCGGCCGGCGACAGGGCGCGGTGGCTGTTTGGGGTTACGTACTTCCGCCTCCCACGGTATTCAGCCTGATGTGCCCGAACGATGTCTGGCAGCGGGCGGCCATAATTGGCGTCATTGTTTGCCGTAGTGCACTGAAGCGACGGCTCCTTCCTGCATAGAGCATGTCCAGGCTGGTGATCTTGGATGTTTAGTCTAATAATGGTCATTTTGTGTGGTCTTGACACTGGGCTTGGCTTCTTTAGCTATACGTCCACGTGACGGTAACTGAGATAGGCCGGTTTATGTCTGCAATTAACCTAACTTAGCATGACATATGGGCTTGAAATTATGGTCTTGCTCGCTGTTACCGACTTTTTCCTTAATGCATTGGTGGACTCTTGCCATCGTTAAGCGTATTTGAGTTTGCTCGTTTCCTATGTGTATGTTATCTCTTATTTATTTAACTGTGGGTGCAAAAGTCCACTTCCCTAAACACCTTATGCACTGCGACAAATGCATTTCAAGCAGTCAAACTGTTGACGCCGGGACAACACCTATCTTTGAGGCATTACTACCGCCACCATCTTCAGCATTAACCGCATGGTGTTGCCCGAGAAAAGCCGAGATAAGGATGGCGTTGATCACCTCTTCCCATCGCCCCAGAGAGATCCAGCGTTACGTGATGTAGGTGATGAAGCCTCCCATCTGACCGCTCCGTGTTGGCGCAGGTGGTGACCGGCGGCCGGACCGCAGCGTTGGAATCCTTTGGAATCGGCGTTGGAATCGTCGCGATGCCACGCGAAAAACTCACGCACACAGCGCGCATGACATCGTGGCTGGGGCTGGTGATGTCACGTGCTGACGATCTGTGCGGTCCTGCCAGCAAGCCGGACAGCCTAGACCGCCGGACCAGCGAGTCAGCTGACAGCGGAGGACACACTCGGCGCCAGGGTCGCCAGCGAGGGACACGCATCGCCAGGGTCGCCAGCGGAGGGCGCGCGGCATCAGGGTCACCCGGCGGACAGCGGAGGACGCGCTCGGCGCCAGGGTCGCCAGCGGAGGACACGCAACTCCAGGGGCGCCTGGCGGCCCCCTCCGATCGACCGCGCCGTCTAGACCGCGGTGAAAGGTCCCCCGGCGTCGGTGCCATGTTCCAGCGGCGACCGGGCGGCGCGCCGTGTGCTGGCCGCGTTGCCGAGGGACGCTGCGCCATGAACGCCGCCGCGCCATGCAATATGCAGGCTGGTCGCTCACTGTCGCCCGCCGCGTTGGCGCTCAATAGGCCGCGCCGCCGAAGCCAGGGGCCCGGCGGTAATTAGGGTAGGAGCAGGGGGCTGGCAGCTGTGATTGTGGAAAGAGTTTAGGCTTTAAAGAAAGTGTGGACGGCTGGGGCTTGGGGTCGAAACTATGTGAAGTTTCTATGGAGATTTCTATGAATATTGTGTCATTTTACCAAGTTTTGGGCTTGTACCAGGCAGCGTAATTGTTTAACGCATGCAACTGTTTACTCAACTGTCAGTAGCTTTAAATCACATACATATATCGAAAGTCAGTGTAGGATAAATAACGTCATGATAGCTCATGCAGTAAACTGTCAGTCCGGTTCTGAACGCCTGCTATGAATCTGCCCTACGTTTCGCCTTGATAACGCCGTGATGATGTGACAAAAGCCTACATAGCTCCCGCCCGCGTCTTCCCAATAACTGTAGGATGCAAAGCTGCGGACATGCCAGCTACCAGAATAACTTCATGGAAGACAAATCAAGTTTGATATTCCGTCATAACGTGATGGTCTCGACTTTTGCTGGCAGCTATGTTGCATGAACTGTCAACACCCACGCACTCTTACCCTTTCTTTTAGTCTTTCCTGGCCCAAGAGCACGTGTGGCAGCGCCGCGCGCACCGCGTCCGCACTTACCTGGCGCGTGCTCCCAGACCTGGTGATTGCCCGCTTCCACCACCCGCTCCGGCACCACTAGGTACTTGCTGCGCGAGTAGAACCGGTGCGGCGTGCGCACGCGGCGCGTCTTGTACAGCGAGATCAGGTAGGGGAACTGGCTCTCCTGCTGCGGGGAGAGGTGCAGCCGTTCGGCCACCGCAGTGTCGTTCTCCCAGTACAGGTAGAAGAAGCAGTTCTGGAACGCATGAGAGCAGGGTGGTAATGAGGTGCTGCGGTGCGGCCGCCGACCCGGACAGAGACAGACGGCTGGTCAGCCCCGCAGATACAGGGTCCACCGACCTAGACGAGACAGATAGTTGGTCAGCTCCGCAGATGAGTACACCGGCCTAAACAGAGACAGACAGTCGGCCAGCCTTACAGATACAGGGTCCGCCGACCGAGGTAGAGACAGACAGTCGGCCAGCCTTACAGATGCAGGGTCCGCCGACCTAGACAGAGATAGACATTTGGTCATCCCCTCCCCAGATGCGGGTGCTTGTCAGTATGTCATCGGTTGTGCACTTTTTATTGATGTCAGGGAAAGCCGACAGAACTAGCACAAAACTCCTCCAGACAGGACCATTTTGCCATGCCATGGTGTTGCACGCTACGCCGTGTTGGTGTAGGCGATGGCTGCCCGCAGAGTAATAGAAAGTTACATGTTGCCACTGGATTAACGCTTCGTATAACGCAACCGGCGTAAATGCGCGCACCATGCACTTACGCACCTCACAAACACGCAAACACATGCGCACAGACGCATACACATATGTGTCACACATGCAGACACGAGGTAACTTCCATGAAGCCAAGAAACGCAGGAGGCGCCTGGACGCAGACCTCATGTTTAATTGTATAGTTGATGTAACTTCAGCATCAAACTCGAGGAAAGATGTCCCTTTGGTGTTGGATACCGGTTTAGCAGTGCTGAAGGGCCTCCAGCCGCCAGTGCGGGTGCGCAACTGGCACCCTCCGTCGACGCACCTGGAAGATGTAGGAGCCGTACGTTTCCCGGCCGCGGCCCCCGAGCAGGTCGAACAGCTGGCCGTAGTCAGCGTGCTGGCGCGGTACGATGTACTCGTCCACGTCCACCAGCGCCGTGTATGAGTACCGGTACATGGTGCGGTACAGGCAGTCGTTGAGCGCCGCGAACATGTTCTCCGTGCGCACTTCCTTTTGAGACCTGGTGACGGGTGGGACGTCAGAGCACGTGGAGGCCTCGTCGGCGTCTTTGTCAGCGATTGACAACATTGTAATGGGCAAATCAAAGGCTTGGCTTTTTTGGGATACAGAGAGTCAGGAAACGGCTGTTGCTCTGTCCTTTTGTATTGTCTACGCCCCGCCATCACGGTTCTTTGTATTCAAACCAGAACTTCACTGGCTTGGCATATCAATCATAATCATTGTCCTGCCCCATGATGTAAACGATTAAATGCATGTGCATTTCTGTTGCCTTCTGCATGCATGCTTCCGGACAACATTAGCCACAGTGTGAAAGCCCAGGCAGAGAAATACTGCAACGACGTAACGCGAGTAGCTGGGTTGCACTATTTGCATGTAAGTGTCAGTTTGCCTCATGTGCCATTCCAGGGCTATTTGCTCACAACTCAAAGTCACGTGTACGCATGTCAGTCGGAACATCCCAAACGGAAAAAACGGACCGCATCAGAAGGCTAATGATAGGACTGGTTGGTTCCTCAGTTATATATGCACTATATGCACAGCCATAGCCACCATATCTCCATACGGGCATTGCCTGAGCGCGGCATTGCCTGAGTGAGATATGCATGGGCAGTACCCATCTGAGCAGTTTGTACCAGGGCATTATCCACCTGAGCAGTGCGTACCAGGGCAGTACCCACCTCAGCAGCACGTACCAGGGCAGCACCCACCCACCCGAGCAGTGTCAGTCCAGTACCCACCTGAGCAGTGAGTACCAGGGCACAGGGCAGTACCCGCCTCAGCAGTACGCACCAGGGCAGTACCTACCTGAGCAGTAGGTGCCAGGACAGTACCTACCTGAGCAGTAGGTGCCAGGACAGTACCCACATAAGCAATTATACCAGGACGGTACCCGTCTCAGCAGCCTGTACCAGGGTAGCATCCACCTGAGCAGTATGTCACAGGGCAGTACCCACCTGAGCAGTATGTTCCAGAGCAGCACCCACCTGAGCAGTATGTACCACGGCAGTATCTATCTAAGCAGTATGTACCAGGGTAATACCCGCCTGAGCAGTATGCATCAGGGCTGTACCCACCTGGGCAGCATGCACCTGGACAGTACCCACCTGAGCAGTATGTTCCAGGGCAGCACACCTGAGAAGTATGTACCAGGCCAGTACCCACCTGAGAAGTATGTACAGGATACACACACACACAGACACACACCTGAACAGTATGTAACTGAGCAGTATGCACAGGGCGCACACCCACCTGAGCAGTATGTACCAGGCCAGTACCCACCTGAGAAGTATGTACAGGATACACACACACACAGACACACACCTGAACAGTATGTAACTGAGCAGTATGCACAGGGCGCACACCCACCTGAGCAGTATGTACCAGGCCAGTACCCACCTGAGAAGTATGTTCAGGATACACACACACACTGACACACACCTGAACAGTATGTAACTGAGCAGTATGTTCAGGGCGCACACCCACCTGAGCGCTATGTGCCAGGGCAGTACGGTGACCAGGTCGCGACTCTGGTAGAAGCGCAGCACGCGCTCCACGTCCGGACCGACCGTGTGGTTGTAGAAGATAAAGCGGGAGACGCCCAGCAGCCGGTGGAACTCGATAAACTCCACCAGCCAGACGGCCCGGTTGTACTCGTAGTGGAACGGCTTCACGCAAACGGCGAAGCGACCGAGCCGGGCGGCCGACGGCTGCACGTCCTGCACCGTGACCTGAGGTCAGGACAGGTCAGGTCAGGTCACGCGCGGGGAAAAGCAGCTGTTTGAGCAGCCCTGGCACGCGTTCCGAACGGAGATGAGACCGGGCGGACATCAGACGAGACACGCACTGTGAGAACGTGAGCGGTGAGGTCACGCCAGTGTGAAAGGCGAGGCCCCTCTGCACATCACACCACATCACCATGGAGCCAATGGCAGAGGTTTGCATCAGTAAAGACCCCGGAGTAGTAAACGCCTCGCCTCCCCTCCCCCCCCCCCCCTTCCACACACACACTCCCTCTTCCTCCCCTCCACCACATTTTTGGGGGAATACCGAGATGTTTCACTTAGGCATGCAGGTTTGTGATGTATTGTAATTGTCATGTTGGCCGTCAGTAGCAGCCTCATAAAGCGATTGGTTTTCTTCACTTATATGGTAGCAGCTTCTCCTGCCAGTCCGCAGGGGCTCAGTTTTGGCCGCTGTGGGAGCAAATTAGGGGCGTAGCCAGTGGAGATGACTGTGGAAGGGTCCTTTAGGCCCGGATGTTCCGCTTTTCATCATAGATAGCTCCGAACAGCAAGTTAAAAAACGGCGTGATGCGTGCTCACCGAGTTCCGGGTTCCTTCCTTGAAAAAATCCAGGCTGCGCCCCTGCAGCCGACAGCTGTGGCACTATCTGCTGCGATAACAGCTATCTAGCATCGGAGCATCTGCCCGAGGTTCTCATCCCCTCGGCTATAATCAGGCAGACACTAGACTATCAAGGACCCATCTGCCAGCAAGTCTCAGGATATTTCTCTCCATCAAGTCCTCACCACTGCCTTGCGGTAGCCTCCTGCGGCTCAGCATAGGACGTCATCGTGAAATGCATAAATGGAGAATACATTTGTAGGACAGCGCCGTCAGTGGAATGTTGGCATTGCAAGAAGCTCTGGCGCTTAACCTTTTCACGCCGTGTATTTCACTTAAACTCTACGCATCGCGGAGTTCACTTGAGCCACAGAGATCTCAGAGTCTGCTGTATCAATTTCGTCGTTCTACGCCTGAAGCAGACCGCAGGTGCGTGCGTTGCCTATTGATACACAAGATTTTCAAACTTTTGTTAAGGGTGCATTCCGAGGGAAGAGCTGGGTAAAACGTGTGCTTTCGTGCCGCGTGGGTTTTCCACTTAACCGGCACGTCAGTTGTTTAGTGCATTTGCGACAAACATTATGCAGGGAGATGAGACAGTATTACTATCCGTATTCCGCGTATGATATCCAGGCTCGTATGAATCAACATTAGTGTTACCTGCTGATCTTGGTCGGCAACTAGTGGCAAACTGGCCACTGGCCAAATTAAATGACCGGCATGTTCTTACAGCTGCATTCCGGGCTGACAGTCAGCATGCCCTGAGGCAGTGCATGCCATAGCTACGGAATAGAAAGGCCAAATTACTTGTGCTTTTGACCACTCTTACTTTATTTTACTGGGCCTATGCTGCGTTTCGTTCTCAAGCGGCAGTCCATGTTTATACCAGCGGGCGGGCTATCTGTCCATTCTCCTGGCTGTTGTGCAAGGAAAGATGCTTTTAATACTGTCGTATCTACACGACACGTCGCTTAGCATCATGGGTTCAATCACCCATATCAGCACTACATAATTCACAAAAACAGCTTATTTTCTGGAAAAGAAACGGTTTAAGACGTCTGTGGCGGGCTTGAATGCACCTGAAAAGGGTTAAAAGCGCAAGTCATTAGGTCTTACTTCTCTGTGCCTGCTTCGGGGCATGCCAACTGCCAGCCTGGCATGCAGCTGTAAAAACACGTGGGTCATTTAGTTTAGCCAGTGGTCGGTTTGCCATATGTTAACTCATACAAGCCAGTTGTCAAAATGTAATGCAGAATGCTTCCCTTTTTTATCTTCAGGGTCCATGTTGCGTTTTGTTCTGGGACGGCACTTTATGTTCTTCCGGGGGTCTGGGGCCTCCTTTCCACTGTGCTTTAAGTCTCCCCGCCCAAATGTTCCTCTGAGCTTAATGTTCCTTGAGCTTAATGTTCCTCTGAGGCGGCCTTGAGTTACTTGAGTTACTACCCCCCCCCCCCCCTTCCCAACAATGCATATGAGCAAACCAGGGAACATGGCACTGAGTACATGCATCAAATGTATTTGAACTGTTGGTGCATCAGGCACCTAAACAAGACACCATTAATTTAAAGCTTATTTTGTACCAGATGGTATCCTGTAGCCACCTAATTCTGGTTTCATGCCAATTTCCTCATTTGTAAAGTCAGTGTGCAATTTTTGATAGATTTTTTACGAGAAAGCGCAAGCTGATCGCGGTAAAAATAAAATGGACCACAATACGCGACAAATTTGTAATGCACTGGGTGCCACAGACAAAAGTCAGCCAACGTTTTCCTTAACAGTGGACAGCGTGTTGGTCGAAGAACCGCAGTTAAATGACAAATTCCAATTAAATGACCAAACACGAGCAGCTACAGTGGTAGCCATTAGATATTGCCCATCACTCAAATCGTAACTACAAAATATGCGCCAGGGCTCCTGGTAGTCCAGGAAGCGCAACAGCTGAACACGCCACAGGTGGTTGATTCCCCGGTCGATGTTGTCGACGGTGATGCGTCCCATCTGAAGCCTGAAGGCGGCCTTGAGTCACTGAAGACTCGCTGGCTTCCCCCACGTGGACGTGTTTCTGATGTTACCCCACAATGTGAAGTCCACGAGCGACAGGTCGAAAGAGTGAGAAGCCACAGCACGGCAGTCTTCAGCCGATGGGCATTCCAGGAATATGGCCCACAACCAATCCAGCGAAGACCCTGTCGTGTGCGGCGTCGGCCCGTCCGGCTGGGGCCGCCACCTCCCCGACCGATCAAGCGCAGTCGTCCCAGGCCGCCCTGGAGGAATCTGAGCGGTAGCGGTGTAGCGCTCAGAGGTGGTGCTGACAGGGTCCTCGTCCTCGTCCTCAGAGGTGGTGCTGACAGGGTCCTCGCCCTCGTCCTCAGAGGTGGTGCTGACAGGGTCCTCGTTCGCGTCCTTAAAGCTTCCCCTGAAGAGTGGTGATTCGATCAGCGCGAGATCGCTAATGTCTCACACTGGTGTTGTTTTTCTTGTGTGTGTGTCATGGCTTACCAGGGAATGATGATTTCATGAAGTATAATGAATTTAATAATTATCCATGTAATCACCCACAATTATCTAACACCACACCATATAGAATATGCTATAAGAGATAATGCATATATGTATATATATATATATATATATATATATATATATATATATACATGGGTCATCCCATTGCCATCGCAGTCTTGATTGTGAAATTCACTTGTCGCTGGTAAGTAAAACGTTAGTTAAAAAGCTGTCCGGACCATCCTGTAGGTATAAACGGTAGGTTCAACTGACAAAGTCCGTTCGTTTCGGCTTGCTACGACTCCTTTGCGAATCTGGTATTGCAGTGTTAATCAACCCCGGGCGCAGTCGGGGTACGTCAACCAGTTGTTCTGGCCACCCGTTCTCACAGCAGAAAAGGGATTTTGACACTACTACGTTTACACGATCGGGAATCAGAACATACACACCCCGCTCTCTTCATTTGCAGGATAGGGACTACTTCCTTAGCGGCCAGGAGGTTTGCCGAATTGTAGTGCGCTAAGCTGTTGGCCACGACTTCTTTAAGATTTAGTTCCAGCCTCTTGATTGCATGTATTTCTGGGATGAGTGCCTCCCATAATCAGTGCTTGTTACGTGAACATTCATCCCCACCATTCGGTCATCAAATTCAAAAGTGTCAAAGGCAGAACTTTTCGGTAAAAACATACCGTGCTGGAATGTTCGGCACGACCCATCCTGCCCTTGGGTCCGTCCTGGCGCTCCCGTGCCAAACTTACTTCACCTGGCCGTTAGCGTGGCCGCTGCCCCCGGCCACAGGTCATCCCAGTCACGGATAAATAGCGAACGCCTGAAACAACTCGAGCCCGACTCGTCACCGTTGGTTGAGTGGGAAGGCAGACGCTCGAGCCGACTGAGATATCGGGCGGGACGGCTTAAATCAGCGTCCAGCGTTGTTTCAACAGCCTGGTTGCACCACAATAAAGGGTCGAGGAATGAAATCAACACATTCTGTGCGGTATGTCCAAGAGTGAAAGGAATATCGCAATAGTGCTGATTGATTTTTGCGAAGAAATCCGACCATGGGCGCAGCTTTCAAACGTCGAGTTCTCTCGTCGTTCTCGAAACGTCATCACTTGTTCTCTCGATCTCGATCTCGATCATGGCAAAGCTCTGGCCATGATGGCCAGTGCTTTGCTTGCTTGCTTGATAATGTGGTTAAGCCAGTACCTCCTGTCAAACTAAAGGCATATGATTTTCAACACAAGAACTTCCTACTCATAATGCTAAAGCAACAAGGGATCAAAACCTTTTTTGAGCATATCAACTTTCAACACTTGTCAAAGGGATGACCTTTTTTAACACAGACACTCTGGGGACACGCTCGGTCACCGCCATCTGCGTACTCTGTCCCTCAGTTATCGACGTGTCTGTTGAAAAAGTCATGAAAGTTCAGTTCTACTTTCAGATGTGGGCACATCTTGGCACCATACACAAAATATTGTCCACAGTTCTGTACGTGTTTATCCACGCCACTCAGAACAATATCGGCTTTTGCGCCTCAGGACACCTTTGATTAAAGAAATACGCCTATTTTCCTTTATCACAGCCGGTCAATACGCTAAAATAATTATTCTGTGAATTACCATTTATTCTACGTTTATTACAACTTTAATTCCACATCGGCTTTGAAAAGGAAGAAATTCCTCGTGCGTAAGCTAGTTTTCAAATCGATCAACATTGCGAATTACATATTTTTGGCATTAGCATTGAGGACGCAAATTAAAGAGGCCTAAGTAGGGGGAGAAATCAGGTTTTGGAGCAGGTCAGGTCAACTTTATCGGCTTAGCACCCCGACTCGAATATAGAAAGTGAAATTCCTGGGTTCGTCACACATGTACACA